AATGCTTTGGAGCACAGACTTAAGTTTGGTCTCTTTTTAAGAGACCAAAAAAGCGAAACAAAAAAGAGAAAAGTTAAGAGTTATAGAAGTTTATTATTATGAAGAATGCACAAAAATACTATATTCAATTATATATGAAATATATATATTTTCCAAAACATGTTTTACTCTAAAACTGCATCAAAATCAAAGCCATAAATCTAAAGTTGTGTTCCAAATTTGAGGTTGATATCTCAAAAAATTTGCTTTTAGTAAGATTTTGTTTGGGTGCAGTTTCCAGATGAAATTAGCTTTATATTAATTCCCAATGTGTTCATTGTGACCGCGAACATAACAAGTGACAATTTTTTTCAGGACCATTTAACCTTTTCAAGTCATGTCCATGATTTTATTTTTCCACATAGTTAAGTGCCAAAACCTTTACCAAGTTTCGTACCATTCCAATGAAGGTTAAAAATTCTTTAAAAAAAAATTCTTTCTAAAAAAAACGAAAAATTGACAACACCAGAGGGTTAACATGATTTCAGTGTGGAAAAAAAAATGCTTGCCAACCTAAAGTGATATCAACAGCTAAGCTGCTTTGACAACACAATGCCATAAACCCTAAAAAGACTGCAAAAATTATTTATAATTTTTACATCTTAACATCTCAAATAATACACAAATGAAAAAGAGCAACGCACTTTTGCTTTGAAAGTCTCCAAAATGGGCCCCATTCACTTTAATTGTGTTTCATTGTAACCTTGATTTTTTCTTTTCTTTTCTTTTTTGTAAAAAAGGCAAGTATTTTTTTTGTTTAAAATTATTATCATTATACTACTATGCTGTTTATTGAGGTTAAAGTGATAGTTCGCCCAAAAATGAAAATTCCGTCATAATTTACTAACCCTCATGTCGTTCCAAACCTGTACGACTTACTTTCTTCAGTGAAACACAAAATAAGATATTCTAAAGAATGCTGGTAACCATTTTGGTTACCATTGATGTCCACTGTATAGAGAAAGAGAGAAAAACAATTAGACAAACCTTATTGACAAACCTTAACTTATTGAGGCCTGGTTTAGAGTAACTTTTAATAATTTCTCACATTAAAGAATTTGTAATTCATTGACAGCTGTAAAACTCCAATTGTCCAAAACTGTTTTGTTTTTCCTAAAGCTGTATGGCAGTTAAATTTATCGTAATTTCTTACGATAAATTTCTTCTTTAGCCCAAAATAAACAAATCAAAGATGACAGTTTGACACATTAGTACCTGGAGTGACCACCACCAGAGAACTGCCTGATGTATACCTAATATAAGAAATGGTATGGAAGAAGATGGAAGTTGTCTTGGGTGTTCTGATGAGGCAGGCCAAGTGCACACGCTCATAGGTATTGCTATGGCCAGGGGTGTAAAAATTATTTCTAATAATGTCGGGGAACGCATATAGCCATGAATCTTTGGGAACAAAATCCTGTCTTGCTTTTTTTAAGTACAGTAAAGGACAAAATCACCACAAAGCACCATAAAAATAGTAAAAATACTTCTCGTGCATTATATTTTAAATCATCCAAAGCCAGCTTTGTGTGAGCTAAATATTGTTAAGATGGAAGACTCCCAAAACTTCAATGGATTTACAATATCTTCTTATATTAAAAATAAATAAATAAATAAAATCTTAATTATTATTTTTATTATGAACAAGATTTTATTTTATCATAATTCTTTATCATTTAAATTAATATTATGTCTGTAGATTTTTCCTATTTTTTGTTTGAAAATAGTTAGAAAATGAGAAAATCTGTCTCATAACTCTCAAATATCATTTAAGTTTTCACATATTCAAACTGCAAACCTTTTGTTTTCCTTTAAAGGTGTTGTATGCAGTCTACAAAATTTCTAACCAAATTTCACATTTTGTGTAGAAAGAACAACATTTTACAATTTTGGAACGACGTGATGTTTAGTAGATGATGACAGCATTTTGTTATTCTTTTAATGACCCAATGAAATTTATTTGACCCCGTTTTCTGTCCTGTGTTGACTTGTTTACTATTAAAACTTAAAGTTTATGAAGGACATATTTAAGAGTATGTGTGTTTTTTTTTTTTTTTAAGTAGCCAATAACCATTAGTAATATCACATGCATGAACCATAATTTGCTACTTGCTTGCAGGTGACCTTAAAATATAATGATCATCTCCTGAAAAACCAGCAGGACAGTTATGATGAACACCTCACCTACATTAAACATATCCGTCTTTAGCCCAGTAACAGTGTTTAAATATTCATAAGGTTTCATGAATAATGCAGTACCTGAGTGGTGATCCAGGCTGCTGAGAGGCTGATGGGAACTCAGATCCTACCTCCTTCGAATCACAGGAAACATGATAATTGATTCTGTGATTAAGAATGTCATAAGAATGATCAATATGGACTGCCATCTGCTGGAATACACACACATCCACAACAGTTGCACATTGGTGGGGGAGGGGCTTTTTTCCCCACATATTTAATGTGAATAAAATATGGTTTTAACCAAGATGTTTCTGCATGTGCCTATACAGAAATTAGCTTTCAAAAATAAACCTTCCCTCAGAAATATTCACTGAATTAATAATAAAAGTGTGACAACTATCCCCAGTCACTTCCCTTATACATTTTAAATTATATATAAATAAAAAAACAAGTCTTGACGGACATGTTGTGTGTCAGCTAACCATGTGTGAAAAATCTGCAAACTGTTCACAGATGGCTTGTCAAGTAACAAACACATCATCATTTCACACACACCCTACAGTGCCACAGCTGAGGTCGTATTTGTGCCAGTTTTCAGGCGTTTTAACGCTTTGATCTTTGAAGGATAATTTCATCCCCTCTTCTATCTCTGTCTCTGTTTCCCCAATATCAGAGCTTTGCACTGTTCACCATGGCAACTGCCTCCATTCAATTTTATTCATCAGTTAAATAAAACAGCGTCGAGAATCACAACATCCCTGATTGGCTGTCAAGAGTGTGACAGGAGTGATGTGATTAATTAGCCCCGCCCACCCGTCAGAAATACAGTCGGAAGAATCATGTCCGACTGACAAGATGAGGAGATCTGTTTCCATGGAGAAAACACCTACGTAAGGAGAGTGGGAAGAAGAAAAACAACAGTTGAAACATTACATCAATAATTAACAAATAAAAAAAATAAATTCTACTATTTAATTAAAAATTTCTTTACTACTATTAACAATTTACTACTGTTAAGAAAGAAATTCTACAACACATATGCACATAAATTCACTCACTGCATTTCTTCAGTCATTTGATCAGAGGTGCAGGGCAGGCACAACTAATATAGAAGAAAAACAACAGTTGAAACATTACATCAATAATTAACAAATAAAAAAAATAAATTCTACTATTTAATTAAAATTTTCTTTACTACTATTAACAATTTACTACTGTTAAGAAAGAAATTCTACAACACATATGCACATAAATTCACTCACTGCATTTCTTCAGTCATTTGATCAGAGGTGCAGGGCAGGCACAACTAATATTGAGTCAATATCGCCCTCTAAAGGACAGACCTGCACTGCCACCTTTATGTGTAAAAAAAAAAAGTTTTACACACACACACACACACAGAAATAATATAAAACTAAATGTACTAAAAATTAATATAACTTAAATAATTTTATTAACTTAAGGCTATGCCCAACCTCATTTAAAGAAGCAGTCAAAAAATCTGCCAGCTTTGATCAACACTTCACATACCTTCATTGGAAAATCCTTGACAATCGTCGTTCTCGATTGTTCGTATTGAGGCATAAGTTATATACCCTCAGTTCATTCTTTATCTGTAAAAGCACTCTGTATCTGTAATAAGGTATATAATCCAGGTGTTTATGCTTGTTTTAGTGTATCTAGACACTAAACATATGTAGCTAAACAAAACGCAAAAACATTTGTAAAAGTGTAGACTGAGAAAGGAATCTGTTATAACATACCTTAACTCGGCATCAGTTGCTTCGTGCAAAATTGCAACTTTCCTAATATAGACAAAACAATAAAAGTGCATTCTGGAATATTTTTTATAAAGTATTCACGTTATGTCGGGTTTTTCGTAATTAGCAGTTGATGACAAAAATAAAAAAAAAGGAAAAAACAAAAACGTGACTTGACTGTCATGTCAAAAAATAACCAAAATGTCAGCAGCCTAAACATTTGAAGTTATTTAGATACCTCTATAATTACTGAGCTTGATAAGCTATTTTTTTGCAGCTTCTAGATCACCCTAGAAACCAGTCAGAACATCTTGGCAACCAGGTAGACTCGGCATCAGTTGCTTCGTGCAAAATTGCAACTTTCCTAATAAAGACAAAACAATAAAAGTGCCTTCTGGAATATTTTTATAAAGTATTCACGTTATGTCGGGTTTTTCGTAATTAGCAGTTGATGACAAAAATAAAAAAAAGGAAAAAACAAAAACGTGACTTGACTGTCATGTCCAAAAATAACCAAAATGTCAGCAGCCTAAACATTTGAAGTTATTTAGATACCTCTATAATTACTGAGCTTGATAAGCTATTTTTTTGCAGCTTCTAGATCACCCTAGAAACCAGTCAGAACATCTTGGCAACCAGGTAGAACACCCTAGAAATGCCAAGCAATCAGCTAACAGCCTAGCAACCTTTTGGAACACCCTACCAAGCCCTAGCAACCAGTTAGAACATTTTTTGAATGTTTTGACCTCCTAATGTGCTTTCTTTGTTCTTAAACATAAACTGATAAACAATTTATATGATTAAATATTTTGCTGTCAACAACAACAAAAAAAAAAGCTGCAAATGGGACCATTATCGTTATAAGTGTTGAATAAAATATGGGTTTAGGGACGTTAACAATTTCTCAGAGTTACAATAATTCCGACATAACGTGAAGGCATCGGCATGAATGTAAACGATCAAACATTCAGACCTTTATTTAAAGGAAGGCCATTACTTTGTAAAAAAATTAAACCCCTTTATTGTTTCTCAAATACAAAAGAAATACAAAAAGAAACACAGACAGCAAGAGAGACAGTCAGTGGCAGCAGTCTGAAGAACAGCTCAGTCTTTTGGTTAAGTACGCAGTTTGTTTTCCCCGTCCTCTAGGCCAGCTCGCTCTTGTCCGTGACCTCGGCGTGGCTGGTGTCCGAGCCGCCCGGCGCCAGCAGAGTTCTGCGGTTGTAGTGGCCCTTCATGATGCCTGAGTTGTTGTTTTCATTGAGGATTTGCTTCTGTTTCTGCCGGTTTAGGGACTGGACCAGGCCGAGCACCACGGCGGCGAGCGAGTACTGGCCCGTGAGCTTCCTCGGCTGCAGGATGAGCGGGTTGGGCTGCACGCGGCCCAGCAGGAAGTGCGTGCGGATCTTGCCTTCCTGTTCACTGATTCCCTTCACGTAGATCTCGCCTCGGTACTCGAAGGCGAAGCCGCGTTCATTCAGGATGCCGTAGGTCTCCTCTGGGAGCTGGATCTTTCCGCTGACACCTGTGCTGTCCATGCGACTTGCCAGATTGACTATGCTCCAACCTACATTTAAGCCTTCTAATAGAGGGCTATGAAGAAAGTAATTTTCATCAGAAAAACACTGATTTTTGGTGATAATAAATAAATATTTTAAGACAGATTTGAGTGTGGGGCTTCTTTAGAATTATAATTTATTTATTTATTAGACTCTTTTATGCCATGACAGCCTATTTTTGGGGGTAAGAACAGAGTAGAATCAGCTAAAAAAAAAAAAGGTAAATAAACTATTAAACATATTTAGAAAGCGATAAGGAGTAGACAAACAGGATATTCTCGGCAAACATCGCATCTTATCATTATTGGTTGAAAATAGTTGTGCTGCTTATTATTTTTAAGTCAGAAATTTTGTGATGAACAGAGAGTTCAAAAGAACAGCATTTATTTGAAATAGAAATCTTTTGTAACATTATAAATGTTTTTACTGTCACTTTTGACCAATTTAATGCATAATAAAAGCATTAATTTCTTAAAAATACAATCTTACTGACCATTTGCACTTTTGAATGGCAGTCTACATAAAGATAAAACTTATAATTTACATTTTTAGGTGCACCTGAGATAAAAAATGATCAGCCAGCGCGCACAGATGCCCCCATTTATCCTCACATTGCTATGGTAACACAGACATATAGAATGATTAGTGCACAAACTACAGGCTTATAAGACATCAGATAATACCTGCTTTAATATGAGTGAGTGTGTAGGTTTCTGTAGGTGTATGTGTGTGTGTTTTCATACTTGTTTCTCAGGAGACAGTCCTGACACGGCCATGTACGTGCTGCCGATGGTCTTTATCTTCTCGATGTCCTGAAAGCGTTCCTCCTCCAGCAGCTGTACAGAGACAATCTTTCAGATATGACAGCCTACAAATGTAGCATTAAACATTCATCAGCAGCTTCTGAGCAGGTGTGATGGATCCGTGTGTCTTAGAGAGAATCATTAAATGACAATTCTGTCCTTATTTACTTACCCCCATTTCACGACAAACCTGTACACGCTGTCATTTTTGTTATTGAATGGGTTTGGATCAACATGGGGTGAGTAAATATTGACAGAATTGTCATGTATTTATGAACTATGCCTTTAAATACGTGTATGTTTATGCTGGTAGAATTCTGACCTCATCAAAATCAGCGATGATCTCGTTGAGCAGCCGCAAACACTCCACACCCTGATTATTCATCTCAGTCTGCGAGTAAAAATCAGCAAAACCTGGAATGGAGGCGAACATCACTCCCACCGCATCATAGGACTGCGAGTAGAGCTCCTACGGATGGAGAGCACACATTAGAAACCTCCTCACTGGATGTGAGATACAAATGAGCTTTAAAACAACACATGTGAAAACATACAGAAATGTGGGTCCAATGAACTTCAGAACAATAATACAGTGCATGTGGCATATGCAGCATGGGTTGACTTTTTAAAACTCTCCACTAGAGGGAAGTGTTGCTTTATAACTAACACACTTGTTCGACTCATAAGAACAGAGGGCAGAACAGATGCATTTGATAAGACTGTTATCTGATATATAATGCTAATAAAACACATACACCATACAAAAAACATGGTTTATATATATTTTATGTTATTAATTATAGCGTGCAATACAGTATGTTTTATATATATATATAATTTATTGCATATTAATGTATATGTATAATATAATATATAATAAAAAGGCTACCTGCAGGTTTTTGCTACCTGCAATTAAATAGAAATATATATATATATATATATATA